GTATTTTTTAAAATCAGGCATCTTAGTATTTTTAATGGTTTCCAGGTACTGTCTAGCATCTTGTAATGCCTGATATTAGGAAATGGGAAATACACTATCCCCAAATTCCTAGCTTACCTGTAATATCTTCCTTAATTTCACCCTTTGACTCATGACTTTTGCCAAAAAACAAAACAGAAATCCCAAACATTTCCCAAACATACACACTTCCCAAAGATGTTAACAGCAACTAGGAGCACACAGGATTTCATGTTAAATTTGTTTGATTTATGCTCATATAAACCAGTTAAATGGGTTTTGTCTTTTTTTTTAAGATTTTATTTATTTATTTGACAGACAGAGATCACAAGTAGGCAGAGAAGCAGGCAGAGAGAGAGGAGGAAGCAGGCTCCCTGCCGAGCAGACAGCCCGATGCAGGGCTCGATCCCAGGACCCTGGGATCATGACCTGAGCCGAAGGCAGAAGCTTTAACCCACTGAGCCACCCAGGAGCCCCAGTCTTTTTGTTTTTCTTAACTGCATTGTTTTGATATGCTGCTGTGCATCGTGAGATGTCGGATTAGAAGGTTATAGTTAAGATGCAGACATGGTACTTGGAGGAGGTACCTCATAATAAAGTTACTCATTATATCCACATTGATTTTAGTATAGCATGTAACATATTATGTTTTTAATAAAAATATTTTATAAAAGATGATGCTGGGACTTGCTCAAATTCTAAACTGTTATGGAATTTAGATATATAAACTCCAGAATTTGCCACAGAATTATCTTTCGTTGCATTTCAAGAATCCCTCTTTATCCAACATCTACTTGTTTTCTCAGTTTGGATAGCACAGAATACTAAGTTAACCAAGTCAATAGGACTTCTGTTTTTTAGCAAGTGACTATCTAGAGCAAGAATTGACAATTTTTTTCTGTAATGGGGCAGATAGTAAATATTATAGGCTTTGCAAACCATTTTGTCTACTACAGGTACTCAATTATGTTATAGCGTGAAAGCAGCCAGACAATATATGAATTTATGTGGTTTTAATGACTTTATGAAACACTGAAGTTTGAATATCATATACTTTCATGTTACTTTTTTTTTTTTTTAATTTCAACCACTTTAAAATGTAAAAACCATGCTTAGCTTGCATGCCATACAAAAACAGGTAGTGGTCTAAATTAGTTTGCTCTCTCCTGATTTTCAGTGTGATAATAAGGTTTTATTTGAAGTATTTGATTTCTGGGATGCCTGGATGTCTATCGGTTAAGCGTCTGCCTTCAGTTTAGGTCCTTGCTCAGAGGAGGGCCTGCTTCTGCTTCTCCCTCTGCCCCTCCTGCCTGCTGTGTGTACCCGCACTCTAATAAATAAGTAAAATATCTAAAAAACAAAAAATGAAGTATTTGATTTCTGATTTCAGGTAATGGGTTCAGATTGTGAATACTGGTTTTATTTTAATAGACTGAAGAATAAGTTTGTGCTTTTAGTTCTATGATAATAAATTATGTTTTTGTGATCTAGTTATTTTGACATCAGGAGTATAAAAGATTCATAAAAACTGATGGTGAGCTTGTTATCTCATTCAATTTGGAAGTTCCTTAAATATTTGATAAATTTTGGCCATAACACTTGGTTTGGTGTTCTAAGTGCACCTATTTGACTACATTAAAACTTCTTCCCCCCTGCACTTATCATTTTACTCTATTAAGGGTTTATACCTCCTAATTCTGACAAATTACATTTTTCTACAAATACTGTATTCTTTGTCTAGATTTCCAATTATTAGTAAATATAATCTCCTAATCATGTCCATATTTCATGTATTCATCTGATTTCTATTTTTCTTCCTCAGAATTACCAGTTTGTATCTGTATTTTTTTCTGTCAAAGAAGTAATTTTATTTTCCTTGAATTGCTTTTATTTTTCCTAATACCTTTAATATATTTGAATGTAGTTTGCTGTTATTTGTTTTTTGTCTTGTACATTTAGTTCTTTATTAATAATCTCTTGGTAATTGACTATCAGCATCCCTAAAACCAGAAAATAGGTTCTTAACTAATAAAGAACAAACTGAAGGTTACTGGAGGTGAAGTGGGCAGGGAAAGGATTAAATGGATGATGAGAATACTTGATTGTTGAGAACAGTTGATGCGTTGAGCACTGGGTGTTTTTTGTTGGTGATAAATCACTAAATTCTATATTAGAAACTAATATTACACTGTATGTTAACTAAATGTAATTCAAATTAAAACTTGAAAAATACAAAACACCAGCATGCCCATTGGGCTATACTTTATCTGAATACAGATTTAGCTGCTCTCAGGTTTTTCTACATAATGTGTTCATTTTCATTCATTTAAATATAATTCAGGGATTGATTTCCTTCTGATTCATGTTATTTGGAAGGGTATTATCAATATTCAGATATTGGTGGCGATCACATTTTAGGTTTTTTTCCCATTTTGAAAAAGAATGTGACCCACATGTCTTTGGGTGGAAAGTGATTTGAGTAAATATTTCATATCTTTCCCTACTGTTTTGACAAATGAATTTTGTTATTCTCAATATGTAAATAGGTTTTTGGACAGGCATAAAATTATTGCACAGCATGAAATACAGGTGTAAATGTAGACTCATTCAACCATTCTTTTTCTTACTCGACTTTTATATCCTAGGATTTTTTTTTTTCCTTTTTAAAACTTCATGCTGAATAAGGAATAAATGTGGGTGAGAAGCTTTTCTACAAACATTTACACCTATTGGTCGTTTGATGTCAACTAAGGTGTATAACATGGTTAAAGTCCTTTCTACAAATAATAATAATGGTGGAGGTACTGATACTAGTATTATGTAACATCTGCTAGATAGTTACTACATGTTAGGAACAATCCCCCCTTTTTTCCCTTTGAGACAAAGAATGAGCTCAAGCAGGGGGGAAGTAGGGCAGAGGGAGAGAATTCCAAGCAGCTTCTCACCAAGCATGGAGCCCGACACGGGGCTTGATCTCACGACCCTGAGATGATGACCTGAGCCAAAATCAAGAGACAGATGCTTAACCAACTGAGCCACCCCAGTAACCGTCATTTAACGTTTTTGTTGTCATTGTTAAAGATTTCATTTCTTTATTTGAGGGAGAGAGAGAGAGGGTATGAGCAGGGTGAGGAACAGAGAGAGAAAGGAGGCGGCTCCCTGCTGAGCAGGGAGCCCGATGCAAGAGTTGATCCTGGGACTCTGGGATCACGACCTGAGCCAAAGGCAGAGACCCAAATGAGAGCCACCCAGGTGCCCCTCATTTTACATTTCTTAACTCATTTAATCCTCACAGCTATCCAACACATTACTGTGTGTGTACGTGTGTATGTACATTCATACATACAATTATACATATCAACTATAAAGCAGCACTTTTTCTATAAGTATTGCACGTATTTATGTATTTGGTTGAGTGTGTACACATTTATAAGCAAAAATAGTTTTTTTAAAAAAGGGTCTGGGGGGCGCCTGGGTGGCTCAGTGGGTTGGGCCTCTGCCTTCGGCTCAGGTCGTGATCCCAGGGTCCTGGGATCGAGCCCCGCATCGAGCCCCGCATCGGGCTCTCTGCTCGGTGGGGAGCCTGCTTCCCCCTCTCTCTCTGCCTGCCTCTCTGCCTATTTGTGATCTCTGTCAAATAAATAAATAAAAATCTTTAAAAAAAAAAGGGTCTGAAAGGATAAACCGATAACATGATTACAATGACAGAACTGAAACTACTGGCAATATTTTTCAAGGAGAAAATACTGAACAGTATTTTGACATTGAAATGTAATGTTTTTAAAGAAAAACAAACAAAAGCACTAATTTTGTATTTAGAAGGCAACTTTTATAACTGTAAAATTTCAGTGAGCACCATAGAGTATGTCAGTAATATTTAGCAAAATGATAATCTACCACAGAAAAGATTATTATGATACCATTAAAAAGAATGATAAACAGGTTATGGTATAGCATGCACATCATGATTACACTAAAGTCTGGAAGGATATGTTGTATAAGTTGAAAATAGTAATTTCTTTTTGGTAGGCTTACAAATAACCTACTTTTTTTTTCACTGTGTGTGTGAAGGTTTTGTTTGTATTTGTTTTGTTTCGTTTTGAAAACGTGAAAACTTTAGTGTTACAAAAGGGAAAGAAATAGAGCTGCCTTCAAAAACAGAGTTATAATTCTGCCAGGAATTAGAATATAGTCTATGTAATGTAACTTATAGTATGGTATTGGTAGAAATAGATCTATAGGGCAGAGCAATAGAAAAGATGGCTCTAAAACTAAGCTAACAAACTCAAACTCAAGCAGCATAAAACAATGGGGAGGAAAGAATTATTTAAGAACTAGTTTGAGACAGAATCTTTTTTGGAGGGAAGGGAGGTTTTACTTAAACCTTGAATTTACATTTTGAAATAGATTCAACAAATTATGTATACAAGAAAACGACAAATATGTTAGAAAAACATCGTTAACAGTGTTATGGGTTAAACTATGTTGAAGTCCGAACCTCTGGAACCTGTGAATGTGATCCTACATGGAAATAACGTCGTTGTGCAGATGTAATCAAAGTAAGGTCATAAGGGTGAGCCCTAATCCAATATGACTGATGTCCTGTATGAGTCTCCTCTTGTATACAAGACAGAGACAAATTTATACAGGGAGAATGAAATGTAAAGATCGAGGCAGAGATTGGAGTGATGCATTTACAAGACAAGGAATGTCACAGACTGCTATTAACAGAAGCCAGGAGAAAGACACGGAATAAAATCTTCCTCCGAAGGAACCAACCTTACCAAAAACTTTAATTTTGGATTTCAGAGCTCCAAAACTGTGAGAATACATTTCTGTCGTTTTAAGTCACCCCATTTTGGGGTACTCGGTACTTTGTTACAGTAGCCTAAAAAAACTACTACACTGTTTTGTTTTGTTTTTTTCCATTACCTGTTTTAAGTATATTGTTATAAAGATTATCAACAGAGCTTATCTTTCACCCAGTATGAATTCCTTCATGACGAATAAGGTCAGAGCGACTACCAAAGGCCTTTCCACATTCCTTACAGTCATAGGGTTTCTCACCAGTATGAATTCTTTGATGTCTAGTAAGGTTTGAGCCTTTATTGAAAGCCCTCCCACATTCATTACATTCATAAGGTTTTTCATCTGTATGGATTCTCTGATGTTGAATAAGTTCTGAGCTCTGAATAAAGGCCTTTCCACATTCCTTACATTCGTAGAGTTTCTTGCCTGCATGAATTCTATGATGGTTACTAAGTGTTGAGGCACTACTAAAGGCCTTCCCACATTCCTTACATTCATAAGGTTTCTCACCAGTATGCATTCTCTGATGTTGAATAAGCCTTGAGTGTTGAGTAAAGGCCTTCCCACATTCCTTACATTCGTAAGGTTTTTCACCAGTATGAATTCTCAGATGTGGAAAAAGTTGAGAACTCTTAGTAAAGGCTTTTCCACATACTTTACATTCATAGGGTTTCTCACCAGTGTGGATTCTCTGATGATCATTGAGGTTTGACCAATAATTAAAGGCTTTTCCACATTCCTTACATTCATAGGGTTTCTCACCAGTGTGAATCCTCTGATGCTGAGAAAAATATGAACTACAACTAAAAGCCTTGCCACATTCCTTACATTCATAGGGTTTTTCACCAGTGTGAATCCTCTGATGTCGAGTAACAAGTGAGCCACGGCTAAAGGTCTTCCCACACTCCTTACACTCATAGCTTTTGTCAGCAAAATGAGTTCTCTGATGTTGAATAAATTGTGAGTTCTGATTAAAGGCCTTTCCACATATCTTACATTCACAGGGTTTCTCTTCATTAACAGTTTTTTGATGTGGAGCAAGAAATGTGGGCTGAATAAAAGTGGGCATGTCTTCATGGGTAAATATTACTTGACTAAAATGTCTCTTCTTTAGGGATAATATCTTGGTCTCACACATAGATTCCAGATCTGAAAGAAATAAAAATGCGTGTGTTCATTTTTCCTATCTTGGGAGACTGAAACTTCTAAAAAAGAAAAAAGATTAAAGTAAAAATAGTATCTGGGAAAGTAAATGCTTAAACAGTTCTCAAATATGGCTAAGCGATTTTCAAAACTGGTAACAAAAGCATGGACATTGAGAGCCAAGAGAGGAAATTCAAGAGGGTGATTAGAGAAATAAATGCCCTCTATTCTGAAATTCTGATGTCAATCAGAATCACCTGAAACTTCCATAAATATACCCTATTCAGGGATACCCTCTGTATTTTACAGTGATTCTAATCATATATACATGTTTATAAGCATACACTCTCACACAAAGCACTATACTGAATATCTTAAAATTTGTGGATAATTGTTTGACCTACATAAGAAGACCACAGAGGAATAAGTGTGGTGAAATGGGGGCGTCTGGGTGGCTCAGTCGTTAAGCGTCTGACTTCAGCTCAGATCATGATCCCAGGGTCCTGGGATCAAGACCTGCATCGGTCTTCCTGCTCTGTGGGAAGCCTGCTTCTCCCTCTCCTACTCCCCCTGCTTGTGTTCCCTCTCTGGCTGTATCTCTCTCTATCAAATAAATTAAAAAATAATAATAATAAAATAAATGTGGTGAAATGTATGAATGGGGGGATACAGTCTGAAACTGTGCAAAGGGTGTGTTGTTGGCAAATCCATATTGGGGGATACCCTAGTCTAAGCTGCTGAATGAAACTGGCAAAAATGGTTTCAGGTAATTCTATGGATAGGGCTTGATATATTGGGGGTTCACTGAAAATAGTTTACCTTGGAATTCTCTGATGCTGACTTTGGGAGAGAAAGCAGGCAGCGTGAATATGAGAAAGAAGAATATATAAGAATGTATATAAGATATATATATATATGAATGAAATATACTGTGAGAAGATAGGTACTCCAAGTCCAATTTTTTGTCGTTCTGTACGTCTGCCATGAAAGCACTGCAAGTATTGATTCTGAGTTTACGAATTTCAGCAAGTAGGTGAATTCATACATATGGAATCTGTAATGAGTGTCAACTGTACAACTAATTTAAAGGGGGACAACTGGGTACCTGGGTGGCTCAGTGGGTTAAGCCTCTGCCTTTGGCTCAGGTCATGATCTCAGGGTCTCAGGTCATGATCTCAGGGTCCTGTGATCGAGCCCCGCATCGGGCTCTCTGCTCAGCGGGGAGCCTGCTTCCACCTCTCTCTCTCTGCCTGCCTCTCTGCGTACTTGTAATCTCTCTCTCTGTCAAATAAATGAATAAAATCTTAAAAAAAAGGGGGGGGACAATTTCTGTTAAAAATGACAGACTGGACCTTTGAGTTTTCCATTGCCTCTTCATGAATTCAGAGGAAAATTAGAGTGGAAGCTTAACAAGAGGGAAGAAAAACCTCACTAGGACAGTGAACACTGGAGAAGAGACAGTAACAATAAAATCTGGAAGCTAAGAAGCCAATGAATGAGTGATAAGTGAGTCTGCAGACCAGAGAAAGTCAAACTGAGCCTGCAGCAGATGAATTCCACAGCACTAATTCATAGTGCAGATCCCCTAAAATGAACAAAAACTGAAGGTATCAGGCATTTCTAATAGTGGGATACACAGAGAATGCTGAAAGCTAAAGAATGAATTCAAGATTGTATTACTAGTAAGACCCCTAGGATCCCTTCTCCCATCCCATACAGGATTATACTTCCTTATTCTCACAGAAAACTCAAAATATAGAAATATGGAACCAGAAGGAATCTGGATTCAGGAACATCAGGCATAGTTGTGGCTACCAGTACTGAATTAAGGACAAAGATTAACAGAAAATATATACACTTTTGATAAAATAAAGAATATATCTGGTCTTTGCTCCTGGTTCCCAGCACAGAGCCCCACAAACCACTGGAATTTCCTGACCGGAAAGTCTTTTGTTATTCACAAGCTCCTTTTGATCATACCTAAGTTTTCCTACTGCAGTGATTAGCTTCAAGGGAGGGTCTGGCCACTTATGACTACATAATCAATAAAAAACTCAGGGCAAGGATTGGGGTAACCTTCTGGTTACTAACTTCCTGGTTGGTAACTACATAATGTACCTGGAGGATAACACACTTCAATTTCTTGGTACCTCCTAGACTTCGCCCTGTGTTATATCTTCAGCTAACTTTTCATTGTATCCTTTACATAAAATGGCAATCATAAGTACAGTGCTTTTCATGAGTTTTGTGAGTTGTTCTTTTTGGTTTTTTAGTTTTGCAAGTTATTCTAATGAATTATCAAACCTGAGGAGGTATGTAAAACTCTAAACTTAGTCAGCCAGACAGAAATACGGGTAGCCTGGGGATCCTGGTTGCAACTAGTATCTGAACTGGTGGGCACCTTGCCCTTTAACTTGTGGAATCTGATGTTAACTCCAGGAAGTGTCAGAATTGAGTTAAAGTATAAGACATCCATTTGTTGCCAGAAAATTTGTCCAGGCCACAATATGAAATAACCCTGTTGACTTCACCCCAATTTAACCACCGGAACACTGATGATAACTCCCTCAACTAGGAATGAAAGTAAAGGTCTCTTCTCTCAGGAAGATTATGCATAAAAGACCAAGTTACCAAAAGTGGGCTGTCCTCAGTATATTAACCCAACCAGATCATCCTAAAATCAACAAGACCCAATCCCTACTACACAGAAGTTCCAATCATCTTTTTAGCATCTCATACTTAAAAATGAGCAGTAAGTCATTATTTATCAGACATTTGAGAAATGTTTCTTAACATGAAGAAGCGCCCAAAAGAGAAAAAAGTATCTGTGAGGAAACAGAGCAAGGAACACAAGAAAATGCCAAAACATATAATGAATAACCTCAGAGAGCTAACCAAATTAAAAGGGCTCAAGATGCTAAATAAAGGAACACTAAGAAAACATACACACACAAAATTCTTAGAAATTGATAATACAATAATGAAAATATATTTTTAAAAACCCCAAAAGTTTCTGTCTAATCTCAGAATGTACACAAAATTCTGGCTTTGTTTCTCAATTAACCCTGGAGAAATTATAGAGAATTGGTTTTATATGGAACTGATGCAAACTGTGAAATATTCTAGAGAGATTGAAGACTGGTGCAAACTTGTGTGTATTTGAGGGTGGAGGCTACTTGCCTGGAGAAATGGTAACAGGAGGCAAGGAGAGGATGGCCTGGTCGTAAGGTCTTTAAATTCTGATTTAGCCTTTCCCTGAAATGCTTTGGGATCAATGTTGCCTGTGCCTTTATGACAGAAACTGGTGGCAACTGCTCAAGCAGCTAAGTAGGATAACCTAATGGTAAAGAAAAAGTCCTGCTGCACAGAAGAATATGGCGGACCATCTGCTCTCAGGCATCTGCTCCTCTACCTTCTCAGCTATTAAAACCCCTAGAGCTGGTGGATTACAAAAAGAGAAGGCATACTCTTCCTGTAGATGCTGCTGCTTTGTGAATGTTGAAAGAGCAAACCCTGATGAGAAGAATTACCTGGTAGAGCAGTAGCAAATAAAAGTTATCAGTGGTGAATCCTGAGGTCTTAGGGCTTGTCATCCTGAGCTTATCTCCTCCCACTTCTTAAATCTACCTGGAAGGGAACAGGCCTGGATCTATCTCTTGGCCCCTCCCCAGGCACACTGCCACACAAGGTGATTGATATCCCCTTGGGAACATGAACTCACAGGCCAAAATGGCCACACACCAGAGGGTACAACTGTTGTTGAAATAGACCACAAACTACCATGATCATCTTGACAGATACAGAAAAATTGTAGGATGTGGCCAACATCAACACCAACATCATAAATATATGATAACTCTGACCAAATTAGCACTACAAAGTAATACTGTAACTTGGTAAAAGTTATCAGAACTATGGCAAAAACTGAAGTGAAGAACTTCAGATATGCTCCTTAAAAGATGGGGAAAAAGAAATGGATGCCCATTACCAATGTTACCAATTAAGACAGTCCCGGCTACCATTATAAGCAAGGAAATAACAAGTATGAGGACTGTAAGGGAAGTGATAAATCTAACAATATGCAGATAATATGATGATCAAACTAGAAAAACCAAGAGAATAAAAAATTAACTTCAGTAAAGTTGTTGGATATTAAAGATCACTTACAAAAATAGTATTTTGAGTAACATTAGCAAGATGGTGGAATAAGTGCTAGATTCTCCTGACTCCCACAAACACATCAACTCAACAGCAATACATGGATCAATTCCCTTTGTGAGAAATCTAGAAACTCATTAAGAGAATCCTGTACACTAGGCAAGGGTAAAGCCAGCCATATCAAAACTAGTAGGAAAACTGGAGACACCTTCTCACCATGATCCCCATTCATGGGATAGTGCCATACAACTGAGAGGAAACCTCCAGCTTCTCCCTGAATAGAAAAGAAGTTGGAGTGCACATCTAATGACTCCACTTTTCTGAGTGCTGCCTGACTGTCTTGGAGGCTTGATCAGACCTGGCATACCCTAGGCCCCAGGGACTACAAAGAACAGAAGCACTGGTTTGAACTAGCATGCAGGCACTCACCACAGCTCCTTTCCCTGCTCAGTGCAGAGTGAGTGGGAGGAAAACTTCAGCTCCCAGCTTCTCCCTGGAGAAGGAAAGAGGTGGACTGTGTGTCAAACATTCCGACTTTTCTGGGGTTTGCCTAAGGGACTGGCTTCTATCTCATCAGTCTCAGTGCTGATGGGACCCAGTAGATTCAAGATATCTGAGGGCCACCAAGAACAAAGACGGCAGTTTGAACTAGCACACAAACTCACCATAGCTCCTCCTCCTGGCCTACTGCCAAATGAATGGGTGGAAAACTCCAGCTCCAGCTCCCACCATCTCCTTGAGATGAAAAGAGTTGGACCTTGCATCCAATTTTCTAACTTCTCTGGAAGCTACCCAAGAGACTGGCTTCTATCTCACTATCTCAGGACCTGGCACACAGTGGGACCCCCCCACCCAGGGACAACAAAAAACAAAGGGAGTATTTTAAACTAGCATGAAGGCACTATAGCTCTTCTCCTAGTTTAATTCATAGCAAATGGGAGAAAAACCCCAGCTCCCAGTTTCTTCCTACAGGGGGAAAGAGTGCATCAAATATTTCAACTTTTCTGGGGATTACTTGAGGGACTGGCTTCTATCTTGGAGCCCTGGAGGGATCTGGCATATTTTAGAAACTGGGAGCCACTGAGAACAAAAAAGGTGAATCGAACTAGCATGCAAACAATTGCCATAGCCCTTTCCCCCATTCTAGAGCAGAGCTGGCAAGCAAACCACTCCAGCTTCCACATTCTTTCTGGAAAGGGAAAGAACCTGAACCACACATCCAATGTTCTAATTTCTTCAGGATTTACATAAGGAATTGGTGCTGATGAGACTTGGCATACTCTAAACACCTGGAAGTCACTAATAAAGATGGTGGTTTAAACTAGCATGAATGTTTGAAAGGCTCACAGAAGCTCCGACTGGTGAAGGTCTTCTCTTCTATGAGGCTAATTCATAATGAACAGGACAAGTGGCATTTTTTTTAAACATGTAGATCCCAACACAAAAAATCAAGGAAATAAAATGAAGAAATAGAGAAACATAATCCAAAGAAGGAAATAAAATAAAGCTCCAGAAAATTACCCTAATAAAATATAGGAATTATCTGACAGAGAATTTTAAATTACCATCATGAAAATGCTCAATGAGCTCAGGAGAACAAGGCATGAGGAAAGTGAGAATTCCAACCACGAGACAAAAAATTTGGAAAAAAAAAAAAAAAGAAAGAAAAAATCTTGGAGCTGAAGAATGCAATAACTTATCTGAAAAAAAAAATTTTAAGTTTTTTTTTATTTATTTCTTTGACTGAGATCACAAGTAGGCAGAGGCAGGCAGAGAGAGAGGGGGAAAGCAAACTCCCCACTGAGCAGAGAGTCCAACGTGGGGCTCCATTCCAGGACCCTGAGATCACGACATGAGCCGAGGGCAGAGGCCTAACCCACTGAGTCACCCAGGTGCCCCTGAACTGAAAATTTCAATAAATGAACTGAACATTCAACAGACTAGAGCAAGCAGAAGACAGAATCAGAGAATTCAAAGACAGGTCTTTTGAAATTATTCAATCAACAGAACAAAAAGAAAAGAGAATAAAAAGGAGTGAAGAAAGTTTAAGGTTCTTATGAGGCACCAAGAATGGCCCAATATACACATAGGAGTTAGAGGCAGAGAAAGAACAACAAAACTTACTCAAATTAGTAATGGATAAAAACTTCCCAAATCTGGGGAAGGAAATGGACATCCAGACTCAGGAAGCCACAGTATTCCAAAAAAGATGCACACAAAGAAATGCACACCAAGACACACTCTATCACACTGAAACATCATTATAATGTTTTTGTTAATAGTCAAAGGCAAAGAGGGGTGTCTGGCTCAGACAACTGTCTGGCTCAGATGGAAGAGTATTCAACTCTTGATCTTGGGGTTGTGAGTTCAAGCCCCATGCTGGGGGTAGAGATTACTAAAAAAGTAAAATAAAAACTTCAAAGGCAAAGAGAATTTTGAAAGCATCAAGAGATGACAAACTGTCTTATACAATGGAACCCCCATAGAACAATGAATAGATTATTTAGCAAAATTTCGAAGGCTGGAAGGGAGCTGGATGATATATTCAAAGTGGTGAAAAAAAAAAAACAATTGTCACTCAAGAACATTATACCCAGAAAAACTTTCTTCATGAACAAAGGAGAGACTTTTCCCAGACAAACAAAACCTGAGGGAGTTCATCACCACTAGACCTGCCTAAAGAAAGTTTTCAACACAAAACATAAGGATGGTAAACAGCAACATAAGGGAATAAAAAAGCATAAAAGTTCTGTTTGTAAAAGCAAATATATAGACAAACACAGAATACTGTAATACTGTTACACAGGGGCTAGTATAAAATTAAAAAGGTAAAAGTATTGTAAATAACTACACATAAAAATATATTAATGGATATACTGATAAACTATAAATAGATTAAATTACAACATTGGTAACACAATATATGGGAGAATAAGAATTAAGTGTTTTGTATGTGATTGAAATAAGTTCTCAGTTTAAAACATATTGTTACAAGATATTTTATGAAAGCCCCAGTATAACCATAAAAAGAAAATACTTATAAAGATTACAAAAAAGAAAAATAGAAAGGATTCAAAGCATATCAATGCAAAAATAAATAAATAAAAGCAAAAAGACAGAAAAAAAGAAAAAGAGGGGCAAAAGAACTACAAGAACAGAAAAACAACAAATAGTAACAGTAAATCCTTCCCTATCAATAGTAACTTTAAGATTTCACTTATTTATTTGAGAGAGAGAGAGATCACAAGTAGGCAGAGAGGCAGGCAGAGAGAGATGAGGAAGCAGGCTCCCCACCAAGCAGAGAGCCCAATGTAAGGCTCAATCCCAGGACCCTGAGGTCACAACCCAAGCCGAAGGCAGAGGCTTTAACCCACTGAGCCACCCAGGGGCCCCTCAATAGTAACTTTAAACATAAGTGGGTTAAACTTCCCAATCAAATGTCATAGTGGCTGAATGGATAAAATAAGATCCAATTATATGCTGTCCTCAAGAGACCCACTTTAGATTCAAGGACACACATATCAGTTGAAAGTGAAGAAACAGAAAAAGATATTCCATGTAAATGGTAACCTAAAGACAGCTAGGGTGGCTATACTTACATCTGACAAAACAGGCTTTAAGTAAAAAACAGTCAAAAGAGAAGAAAGACATTATATAATAATAAAAGGCTCAATTCACCAGGAAGACACAGCAATCATAAATACATACAGATCCAACAGCAGAGCACATACATAAAGCAAACACTGACAAAACTAAAGTGAGACATAGACCAAAATAATTGGACACTTCAATGGCCTACTTGCAATAATAGAAAAAACAACCAGACAGAAAATAAACAGTGACTTGAAAACTACCATAGATCAAATGGATCTAACAGACCTATACAGAACATTTCACTCAGTTGTAATAAGATAGATGCTTATCAAGTGCACATGGAATGTTCTCGAAGACAGATCATATATTAGGTGACAAAACAAGTCTTTTAAGAAATTTAAGAAGAATAAAATCATTCCAAGTATCTTTTCTGACGACAGTGAATGAAACTAGAAATCTATAGCAGAATGAAAACTAGAAAATTCACAAATATGTTGAAATTAAACAATATACTTTTGAATAAGCAATTGGTCAAAAAGAAATAGAGAAATTAAAAAATAGCTTGAGACAAAAGAAAACATATTTATGAGATGAAGAAAAGGCAGTACAAAGAGGGAAGTTTATAGTTCCTACATTAAAAAATAAGAAAAATCATAAATATATGACCTTACACCTTAAGAAACAAACTAAACCCAAAGTTGGCATAAGGAAGGAAATAATAAATTTTAGAGCAGATATAAACCAAATAAAATAGAAAAACAGGAAGGATCAATGAAACTAAGAGTCTACTGAAAAAATAAATAAAATTGATAAACTTTTAGTTATAGTAAGAAAAAAGAGGAAACTCAAATAAATAAAATCAAAAATCTATAACTGATGTTACAGAAATTAAAAGGATCATTAAGAGGCTAGTATGAACAAGTAGATAACCTGGAAGAAATGGATAAATTCCTAGAAATATATAACCTACCAAGGCTGAATCATAAAGAAAACAGGAAGTCTCAACAGACCTAGAACTAGTAAGGACATTAACTCACAATAAAAAATCTCTCAATGCAGGAGGCCTGGGTAGCTCAGTCAGTTAACTGTCTGCCTTCAACTCAGGGCATGATCCCAGGGTCATGGGTTAGAGCCCTGTACTGGGCTCCCTGCTCAGTGGGAAGTCTGCTTCTCCCTCTGCCCCCACCCCATGCTCTCTCTCTTCAATAAATAAATAAAATCTTTTAAAAAAGAAAATTTCTCAATAAAGAAAAGCCCAGGGCCAGATGGCATCATTGGTGAAGTCTACCAAACATTTAAATAATAATAATAATGCCAATCTGGGGGTGGGGAAGGGCTGCCAATCCTAAAACTCTTCCAAAAAACTGAAAAGGAGAGAACACATTCAAACTCATTTTACGAAGCCAGCATTACCCTCATGCCAAAGCCAGATAAAACACACCATAAAAAAGAAAACAACAGGCCAATTCCCTAATGAATATTGATGCAAAAATTCTCAACAAAATACTAGTAAACTAAATTCAACAGCACATTAAAAGGATCGTATACCATGACCAAGTGGAATTTATCCCTCGGAAGCAAAGATAATCCAACACGCAAAATCAGTTAATGTGATATACCACATTAAGAGAATGAAAGATTGGAGTGCTTAGGTGGTTCAGTAGGTTAAGTATCTAACTCTGGCTCCAGTCATGATCTCAGGGTCCTGGGATTGAGCTCCTGCGTCTGGCTCCTTGCTCAGTGGGGACTCTGCTTTTCCCTCTCCCTCTTTCCCCATTTGTGCTCTGTCTCTCAAATAAACAAATAAACATCTTTTAAAAAAAGAGAGAATGAAGGATAAAAATTACATGATCATCTCAACAGATGCAGAAAAAACATTTGATAAAATTCAACACCTTTTCAGGATGAAAAACCCTCAATAAACTAATAACATGGATATTATCTTAACATAATAAAGGCCACATATAAAAAGTGCACAACTAATATCATACTTGATGAAAAACTGAAAACTCTCCCTCTAAGATCATGAAGGAAAAACACCCACTCTTGCCACTTCTATATCTGGTATACAGAAAACTCTAAAGACTTCACATAAAAACTGTTAGAACTAATAAACCATTAAGTTAGGGTTTCAGTTTGCAGTTTCAGGACACAAAATCAATATATAAAAATTAGTTGTTTCTTTACACTGACAATAACCTGGAAAAGAAATGAGAAAAACTATCTCATTTATAATAGCATCAAAAGGAAAAGGACTATTTAGAAACACACATAACCGATGAGGTAAGAGACTTGTACAATGAAAACTGCAAAACACTGAT